CATATAGAGAACGTACATATGTGTTCCAAACCTCAAAGGTCTCTACGTCAGGTGTGGCATTTCCTTGTGACTCCACTGGATAATAAATCCACTTACAGTTCTGTATTTGTGGGATGAGTCACTGTTTTGGTTTCTAACAAGCAAGAGAAACTATTCTTAATGGTATTAACTGCAGATTAAAGGGTGTTTAGAATCTGGTTATCTGCTTAACAAGTTATAGGAATAGTATATATCTTCTGATAAGAATTGCCTGGAACAAGGCAATTGTTCCCCCCCCGCCTCCCCCCCCTTTTAATAAAAAAAGGAAGTCGGATTTCAGGCCAATAACTGCATTAGATATATTAAGGTATATACGATACTTATCCTGAGATTTTTTTTGCAAGGAATACTTTTATTAGACTTGGTGAGGAGAAATGTATTGCTATATAATATTTCCTTAAGAAAGAAGAGATATTTATTGTACAAATGCCTGACCTTAAAGCTATAGCCTTTTTCTGTGTATGATTTAATCCTAAATTTTATTCTTGGTTACTTGCATATATTTATGTGTGTGTGTCCTTACTGTTTATTGATAATTGGTAGGCATCAGTATTCCTACCAACTGCAGGAGAAAATGGAGAATGGGAGGAAATTTAGTTCAGTGCTGCTTTTTTTTTTTTTATAAACCTTCCAAAAAGTCTAAAATAAGATAAATATTTGACTAGCTTTTACTGTGCTTTAATGTGTGTATGTCTAAACAATTTATTTTCAGGATTGAAGAGACCTCAGAATTGTTGAAAAACTCAAGCAGCACCTCTGAGAAGACCTGAGGAACAAATCTTTGGACCTATTCTTTGTAGTTCATGAATATTGTAACTAATATATATGTGTGTACAGCATTTAAATTTTAATATATACTTTGATCACCAGTGCTCTTGTTTTAGAATAAATTTTTTTAATGCATTTGTGTATTGATCTCTTTTTTTTTTTTTTTTTTTTTTTTTTTTGTTCTTCAGCTTTTTGCCTGTTCAAATAGTTTCCCACCTTGGTAAAGTGAAGTCATTACAGCAGTGTATTTTTGCGTTGACATTTGTTAGCAGTGTACTAATAAGTGTGGGTTTTTTTTGTGTGTGTGTGTGTGTGTGTGTGTAGGATTGAGGACCATGGTTTGCATCCTGTTGGAAACACTCCAGCTGGGACTAGCATATTGCACCCAAGAGGCTTTCTTACATACCATCTTACCATCTGTATTGCTGAATAAGTATTAAGGAAAACTTAGATACACAATTATAAATAAATATGTATCTTTAGGGGTTTTGGCTTTTTGAGTTTTTTTTAAAGTAAATTTTCATGTCTGGTTGGAGAGTACCAACACATTATGGCTTCCATTAACACTGACAAAGCAAGGGTCAGTTCAATCCTAAACACTAAAATGTGTAAGTAAGTTCACAGACTTTGACTGCAAGAAATGTGTTGAGTGTTTTAGTACTCTTACCCAACACATTTTAAGACCAGCAGCACAGATGGAGCCCATCCAGTACACAAAGATACACCACGCTTTTATGATTTGAAACTGTATAAAATTTCTCTTTAGAGACATAAGTAGACGTAAGACTTCCATAAACATCATATAATGAAATCAAAGGTATGTGTGGGGCTTGATAAGAACAGGAGATTTCTTTTTAACCCTTGCTATATTATTAGGTATTAAATCATATCAGATTTTTTTTTGTGCTATATAACAACTTCACATGAAAAGATTTTAAAGTTTGATAGCACAATATCAGTGTATTTTTTTTTGGCAGAGTTTGCAAATGAAGGTGAAAGCAGCTGTTTGACATTATTCTAGTAAAAGTGATTTATACGATTTAGCAATAATTATGATCTTTAGCCATATGGAATATAAACTGACTTTTTACAGAAGAACATATGGTGATCCATTATTGTTATATAAACTTAGTCAAGAGCTTTTGGGCTTTTGTTGTAGAACTTGTCCACTATATGTGATTCAAAAAAAAAAAAAAAAGTTGATGTTGACTGATGATGTGAACTTGTTTTGCACCTTGATAGAAAATAAACCTTGCAATCACTTCATCCATTATTCTAACAGTGAAATGCAGTAGAGGCCAAATGCTTAGAGAATATAGGTGGTATTATCTTGTAAAATAGAACTACAGCACCATCTTGTGGACATCTTTACACAAAATAATTAGCAATAGAGAAAAATGTATATTGCTTCTCAAATCATATATTTTTAAACCACTTAAGGTCAAACGTTTTGAGATATGGCCTTTTTTTGAAGTCCATTCTCTATCTTTGTATGGAAGAGATGAGAGATACGGTGTGGATTAGGAAAAGATATTTCTGCTTAAATAATGGGCAATTTAATGTCATATTTTTTGGTAGTGCAAAATGGAAAAATTTGAGTTGCTCTCTGCAGAAACTTGCATGCAGTATTTTTGAGTAGTCCAGGCCTTGCAATTAAACTTAGCTTTTCCTATTTTCTGGACCAAACAGGGTTAACTTAATCATACTGAAGCCAAGGTTTCTTTTTATTTTTTGTTTGTTTGAGGGCCATGAGGAATTGTTTTTTCTCTTTCTGCAATCATTTATGAGGGTGTTTTGTCACTTTTTTCTTTTTTTCTTTATGAAGACTTTTTTGTTGTCTGAAAAAGAAATGGGTAAAACGTTGAAACTCTTTATGTGTTTGAACTAATTTTTCATGGAATTTCATCACTGGAAATAATTAGTACTAGCAATAACATATAACAGTAAAGTTTTGCTAAAGCAATGCAAAAGTTGTGTCAAAAGTTAAAATAACAGCACAGTTTGAATAATGACTTGTGTGATGCTACTTCAAGCACTCACAACAGTCAAAGTTGGCATTTTACATCTGCAAACAGTTGTGGGGGTGGATCTTGCTGAGTGACAGAAAATGTTAGAGACTTTCCAAAACAAAGGATAAATTTATCCAGTGAATATTCCTTATGATAGTTTCTATCATATCTAGTTTTTTCCTGTAATTTGAGAAGAGTTCCTGTTATTCAAAATATGAATTATTGAGCTACTGCTATTTCTTGTAAATTAGTGCATGCATTATTCAATAACTAATAGTTAAAAACTTTTGTAGTTAAAATCTACCTTGACAAGTGTAACAATTTTCTTAAATATCAGTAGAATAATTCCACTCTAATGCTTAAAGTTTCAGTTACTTGAGAGTAGCGAAGCATAATTGTATTGATGTAGAATGCTTCAAGTTTCTACTGTTCTTTTTTCAAAAGTTGATTTTTTTTTTAATGAATTCTAAATTCCTAATTATTAATACCAAGGATTCCCTGCTTGTGTGCGTGTGTTCTTATTTTTTTTGGTTGCCTTAGTGTGCATTAAATTCACTTAGTGAAAATATCAATGCGCTATACAGAGTACATCATAGGGAGAAAGGATGCCTAAATCTGCAATATGGAACAGCTGTCTGTAACCTCCCCGAGTCAGTCTTATGTTATGAGTTTCTATACAGACTGTTGTGAAATATTGGTGTTCTGAGTCATAATTAGTAGGGAAGTTACTGTAGTCTGTGACATGGGAATATGTGCTCTGTGATGTTAGCTTTGATGTTTGAGATCTGATAATTATGTTGTGTTGTAAGCACAGCCGATCTCGGTTGATCTGAGTACAGGATGACCATTACTGACTCTCGTTATATTCTGCCCTTTCCAGGGCCTCGCTCTGAATTGTTTTGCATCCTCAAAATGATGTATTCAAAGCCAAGACCATAAAAATTAAGCATGTCTGTTTCTTTAAGTATAACTTTCTTCTCTTATACTTGGAGTTAGTTTATGATTTTCCATCCTTGCTCAGTGTTGTGTCCTGTGTCAGGGCCCAATTCAGTCTAGCAGTGAACACTGTGGAGAATAAATTTGCTTAGGGAATTAAAAAATATATATATATTTCTATTTAAATTTGCATACTGCTTACAGAATACTTGTTTACCTAAAATCAGTCCTAGTAAGGAAAAAATGCTCTCCTGGAATTTGTAGAGCGGAATAATAAAGTAGACTCTGTGGTGAGGGAACTATATTTCTAGCTCGTGGTGCTGATGATACATGGTATAGTGGCTTCAGTTTAGCTGCACTTCATGAGAGTGATGCTTCCTTCCCTATGGAAGATCAAATAAGTGATGATTCCTGCACATGACTATCGAGTTCCTTAAACAAGGGCACATATTTGGTTGGGGGAATAGCTGTCTGGTGCCCATATGGCTCTGTGGAAAGTTTTATGCAATAGCTAAGGGTGCTGTTATGGTCTCTAATACAACCAGCCATTAGAGGAATCGTGATTGTGTATGAGCGATAAGCTCACAGACTATCATGTTTCCTCTTTTCTTTTTCCTTGATCATTATATTTATATATATAATTATATATATTATATTATTTATATATATATTTATTTATATACATATAACTTTATTTTATTAAAGGCATGGATAGGTAAGTACAGGTAACATCAGGTATATGAAAACACTAAAGGGATTCAATTTTGAATTGTAAAGATCACCTTTCTGGTAAAAGGAAAATATAGACTAAAGGATATATGCTACTACTAGTAATGGATTTTATTTAGATACTTTATTAAATATTTTAAAATTTCTTTGCTAATAATCAGCAGCTTGTTTTGATATTGGAGGTTAGCTATTATTTCTGTCTGTTTTGATCGCAATATATTCCGTGTCAGAACTTTTTATAGGCTATTGCTGCTATCTCTTCAAACACTAGGTCAACAATAGTTCCTTTCAGTTCCTATGTTTCTGGGGTTTTTTTCTTTCTCTTTTTTATCTATATGATACAAATCAATGGAATTAGACTATAAATCTCAGAGCATAAGCAAAATAAGCTACTTCAGAAAATGTATTCTTTCTGGATTTTTTTTTGTTGTTGTATGATATTTAGAATGATGCAGTGCAACAGCTATGGTGGAATAATAATTCAATGATAGTTTATAAAAAATATTCAACAATATTTTCACTTCTACAAGCTTTAGTTATGACTAGGGGTTTTTAAATTAGGAATTCATAGCAAATCATTTCCTGGGATACATTTTGGGGGGTAGGAGGGAAAAGCAAGCTTTTTTAGTGGGAGGTGGGGGGAAAGCAAGCTATTTTCTTTTTAACAGTAGAAGAGCACATCTTTACTAAAAGTTAGGAATAAGGTCTGAAAGATTAATATTTGCTCTTTTGAATATTAAAAAAAAATTGTAATGTTTCCTTAGGTTTTAAACCTAGCATGCATTTCTCATATAGCGCCCAATTGAAATGTGCATAGGGTATTCCAAATAAAAAAGAACTCTTGGTTCTTTGTTGACTTCTGCCCTAAACCCTAAATTCCTGAACTTGTGAGTTGTCGGAATTGCCAAAAATGGTGGAATTGGTGACTGTCCTAGTGTTGCTCTGCCATCATTTTCAGATCAACCTGCTGCTCTGTGGCCTGTTGCACTTCCTTTTGTAGCAGGCTGGTGCACTTGAGGGTGCAGGAGGCTGGCTGCCTTGGGAAGCAGCGGGTAACTAACCAAGGGCTGCAGTTTTGTTACATTTGGAATTCTGGAGTTTCATGGAGACTGACCACTTTGACAATTGAAATTGCAGGTCCTCCTAATAGTCATGGAGAGAGTGGTGAAGATAGAAGCCAAAGGTAATTTAAACTAATGCCTGATTAAACCTTTAGAATGTTTATTTTTTAAAAAATAAATAAGTTGATTTTTTTTTTGAGCTGCAGAAGGATGCACAGTAGCTGAAACATCTGTGATTTGCACATTCCAGATGAGAAAAAGAAATCA